GACTCATTCCCCTCACCGTAATGATAGCCGCTCCGGCCCAATTCTCAATATTTTCGGGACTGGAGGGATTGTGATCTGTAACGCATTTATGCGGGCTGGTATGTAAGTTATTGGTTATGTGCATACCTACATATGCCGGTTGTACAACATCACGGATGCATATCCTCAGTGTTCTAGAACTCGAATTTTTCAATAGAGGCCTTATCACGTGTTGGGTGTGTGATAATTATTTATTTTGTCAGAGACAGTGATTGCGAAAATGCCTTAACGCTAACTAACTACCTAGACCACGATACCATAAATCCAAGGCACACTATGAGGGACTTAACAGTGCGATACAAGCCTAGTCCGGTCATTACAGCCCTTGGCTAATCTACTGGCGAAATATATAATTCACGGGGGAGATTATTTCGACTGCAACCCCCCACAAACATGTCTTAAATGCCTACAGTGCAAGTACTATATGTAACACGTCATGTATGAATAACTAATTAATAGAATATGTGCTAAATCAGGCCAGTCCCGCATGTGCACCCCTTACGAACAGCGATGTCTGTTGGGTGTACGATGAAGAATCATTCAGGGCAAAAATGGCGGTTGTTGGTTAGCCTAATATTTCCCCGGATCCTGCTGAATATAAATCTACTCATGTGATCTCTGGACCTCGGGGGTTTCAAACTCCAATTCTTAACATAATCGATCGCCAGGCGAGCAATTCGGGGCGCTCTCCCCGTCGGATGTACATATACGGATCCTTTGAGGGGTGCATCTTCCCCCTCCATTAAAGACCTTGAAATGTTGAACACGGACTAATCTATCGTGTATTCCGTCTTTCGTTTCTCTATCTCGTACACAACCACTGTTACATGCTACCTGGACGCAGCCCTCTCATTTCTCATTGGATACGATACTACCTGGCTGTGGTTCTCACCGCCCCCTCAAAGCATGTATGCTAATTTCAATTTGTACACTGATTTCAGCTTCTCTATTATTCTTATATATATACAATAATATTGGGCCGCTTATACGACCTTGTCATGCTTTTTTGATGGACCTTTTAGATATATACGAGGGCGGTAAGAAGCATAATTTATTTAAGATACTTTTTTATATATAACTAGGGATATCAATCAATTGAATACATATATCAATATCTAACAAGTTAAGGAAGGGTAGGGTACTCTATAGCTGTAGCTTAGAGTATATAGTACACTAGTTTAACACCATGAACTATATCATTCTTTTTGTTTTAGCTTTTATACTACGCTTTAAATGTAAATAATGAACCGGTTCAACACAATAAAATTACCACGGAAATATTCATTTATAAAGTATCAATTAAATGCACTTAGAGTTTACCTAAGGTAGGCAAGTCGATACAATTTTGACTGTATACCTTTGAAAGCGAGGGTGCAGGAAAATTACTGTCTGGCAATATAATCCAATGAGAGTTGCGTCCAGGTGGCGCATAGCGCACTCAGTCCCCCCGTACACTGTGCTTATCATGTTTAACGACGGCGAAGCAATTGGTAGAGATAATTCCGAACCTATGTCTTGCCAAGAAGAATGAAGCAAATTAGGCATTAAAACATCTGGCCACTAGACCACTAATCCCTATCGGCTGGAATAAATCTCCGACATCCTTTGTCATGACCGCATATGACTTGTCTATTGAAGGCGTTTTCAAACTTCGGTCAATGCCATCAATGACGTCCAACCTATGTTAACTTGGGTGGTATTTGAATGTACCTCACCCGCTTTTCCCGCATAGTTCTTTATGCAAGGATACAAATCTGGCCTCGACTACACGCAATGACGTAAAAACCCCTAAACCGGCCCATTGATTGGTCGGTCTTGCGCTGATCATTTCTTGCTCTCGTGCCGCTTCAATTGCTTCAATTGCTTCTATTGCTTGGTTTAATTGTCGAGTGTGCTACCCAACAAGGAAACGAAGTGTCCATATCCTTACTTTCTGGATCGTGACTTCGATGCTATTGGTGTCTATTCGCCGAGTGATCCGCTGATTGATACATGATTCACCCATATACTCCACCCCCATGGGCAACCTCCTCATTTCCGCAAATATTCAGTGGCAGGGAAGGGTATCAGTTTCCTCGGTGCGCAATGTTCTGCCCTGTCTTTTGGGCAATCCTCTAGCCCAGGGTTCGAGAGCTCCTTATCCAATGATTTGATAGAGATACCGCCCTCTTGACCGATTGTGGGCTATCTATCTGAATCATGTTACATGAGACACCCTATGCTTCCTAGTGGATGATGTCGTGTGGAATATAACCCGAGCCGGATACGAGCTTGATGATTTAGCGTTTCTCAAACCTGGTGGCGAAAGGATGCTGTTCTATAAAGCAAGCACGTTCGCTTTATTCCCCACCCTTGAAGCATGAAGCTATTCTCGCTATTGCTCTAGATTTGCCTTGATAGGCTACAATAATCCGCACATTTGTGATAAGGTCACCCTACCTCATGCTTATGATCCTTGTGTGATAACATTTTTCGGCTGACTCGGCTATGCCCAGAAGATAGATAATTGCACAGTAGATTGCTGCCATTCCGTGGCATATTTGATCTCATTTGACACCCTTCATCCAGTATGAAGGAAAATGAAATCACTGACTCCATTGCGGGGAGGATAGAGCATATAGAGGAGAGCCCACCTACAAACGGCCAAAAGGAAGAGAAGGCAGACCTCGAGAGCCGCTCTCCTGCCAATCTCAATACCGTATTCGAAAACCCTCTTGCCGGAATCTCACGCGAACAACTTTTTAGAGATGTCATCGAGTTTTGCAGCAAGTACGACTTGATGGATCATGTCGAGATTTTCAAGAAGGGTGCTCTTATTTCGCAAAATCCTGCATCGGCAACAAGCCTTCCCGATATGTCGGAGGAAGAGAAGGAGGCCCTTGAGCGTGAACGTACCCACAAGTGGTCACAGCCGTGGCAGTTATACTTTCTAGCATGTATGTTTAGGCATTTAAGTAATCCATTGGTCTGGGCTAACTTCCTTTCTTTTATCTCAGCAATGTGCTCTCTCGCTGCAGCTGTCCAAGGTATGGATGAAACCGTCAACAATGGCGCCCAGGCCATCTACTTTGCTGAAGACGTACGTTTCCTGTCCTTGGTTATGCTAGCATAGACTGACCTTTTGTTCTAGCAACTCAACATCACTTCCAAAAACATTCAAGGTCTTGTTGTTGGTGCCCCATACTTAGCCTGCGCAATCATCGGTTGTTGGCTTACAGAGCCCCTCAATCGGTTATTTGCCCGGCGCGGTACAATTTTTATCTCATGCTTTATTGCAGCAGTTGCCTCGGTATGGGAAGGTGTTGCAAATACCTGGGTCAATCTTTTCATTGCCCGCTTTGTTCTTGGACTTGGTATCGGGTCGAAATCGAGTACTGTACCTGTATATGCCGCGGGTAAGTGTTGTCGCATGACTTCATTTTTGTCATTGCTAATTCAATAGAATGCTCACCCGCTCCAATTCGAGGTGCTCTCGTTATGATGTGGCAAATGTGGACGGCCTTCGGTATCATGCTTGGCAACATAATGGGTGTTGCCTTCATGAGTTTAGATCGAGATATCAGCTGGCGTCTCATGCTAGGATCCACTGTTGTACTGCCACTGGTTGTCTGCGCTCAAGTATACTTCTGCCCGGAATCTCCAAGATGGCTGATCCAGCACGGCAAAATCCAAAAAGCCTATGCCAATTTTCGTGTCCTCCGCCCAACAGACATTCAGGCCGCAAGAGACTTGTATTATGCATACGTGGGCGTTGAGATTGAACGAAAGATTAGCAAGGGCAAAAATTTCTTCACAATGTTCATTGAGCTCTTTACCATCCCCCGCAACCGCCGTGCCACGATCGCTAGCTGGATCGTGATGTTCATGCAGCAATTCTGTGGAGTTAACGTCATTGCGTACTACTCTACCTCCGTCTTCACTGAAGCAAGCTACAGTCTGACCAGCGCGCTACTAGCGTCCATGGGAACCGGTATTCTCAACTGGGTTTTTGCCCTACCTGCCTTCTTCACGATCGATACCTGGGGTCGGCGGAATTTGCTACTATTCACTTTCCCCTTCCTCGCTATTACCCTCTTATGGACTGGATTTTCCTTCTGGATTGAAGAGGGGAATGAAACAAGCAAAAAGAGAGTTGCAATGGTCACCACGGGCATGTACCTTTTTGAAGTATTCTACTCTCCTGGAGAAGGGCCCGTCCCATTTGCGTATTCCGCCGAGTGTTTCCCGCTGCAAGTCCGCGAAGTCGGTATGTCGTGGGCGACAGCGACTACTTGGTGCTTTAATTTCATTTTATCTTTCACTTGGCCGAGTCTGGTCGATTCTTTCAAACCCCAAGGTGCCTTCGGTTGGTATGCTGCATGGTGTATAATCGGCTGGTTTTTGGTCTTGTTATTTGTACCCGAAACAAAGTGTAAGTTTCGTGGTCTATCCGATATTAACAGTACTGATATTTTGTCTTCAGCTCTTACTCTGGAAGAGCTGGACCAGGTATTCTCCGTCTCAACTCGCAAGCATGCATCGTACCAGATGAAGAATGCTTTGTGGCATTTCCGTGTCTGGATCCTTCGTCAGAGGTTGGAGCCTCTACCGGAATTCTATCAGGGGGTCGAGCGTCTTGTGGACGTAGGTGAATTAGCGTCCAAGGCAGAAAAGGAAAGAGAAGGAGTGAATAATGGCTAGATGATGCAGAGATAGAAGCGAGGGTAGTGAGGTAGTAACTGCAGCTGGTGTTCTCGGACGAACAGGTCCGGTTTTAATCGATTATGGGATGTACTTGCCGTAGTATGTAGCCCTAGCATTCTGGATCTTATATGATTCCAGGCAATGTAATTGCTAACTGTTTAGCTGACCATTGAAGGACCAAACGCATCATGTATTTTCATTTATACAGCAGACAAGAGGGGGAAATGAACAAATGTGCACAAGGGCTATATACATCGATCCCCCTGTTGAGTATTGGTATTGATTGCTATTGTCAAATTACTCAAGTCTCTTGCTTAGCACGGCACCGTACCAGATCGTAGCAACCAGGCTGACCAAGTTGACCAAGCTTGAAATACCATGCACGCGGCCGAACTTCTTGTTCAGGGCCAGCATCTCCTTGGAGTGAGGCGCTGGGTCGTAGCTCCTCTTTCCATCACGGGTTTCTGCAAATGTTAGACTACTCGATTGGATTTTACCCGAAACATGGTGCCAGTAGCTAACGCACCTTGATGCTTGCGCTCGCGCATAACATTAGTGGTGATGGGACGCAACACGAACATGTTCACCAATCCGGTCACTGCCACAGTTGCCAGAGGCAAGAGAGTGTTAAGGCGGTTCTCAGATGCAGCGAGACCAGACAGACCCAATACTTGTCCGCCATGGGAAGCGGTCAAGGCGACCACTACAGGCAGCGCAGATTGCAGTGAGAAGTAGATTGGGAAGATGGCGGTCTGCAGACTAGCGAACTGGGGCCGCGGAAGGGCACGGAAAGCAACGAAGCCTCCGACAAAAGACTTTGGGTATGTTAGACAATAATTTAGGCGAGGACGACTCGATATGCGCCCGGTTCAACTATTGATCTCACCTGGTAGAACTGTGTCCCTAAAAGGGTGCCGTAGCTACCTCATGTATTAGAATATGAGCCATGATTTTCAATCATAAACAAACCTTAGAACATGGTAGGGGCGAGGATCCATGATTTCGGATATGTTATGACCTTGGGAAAGTTGAGTTGGCGATAAAAGTTGGAGTGAGAAAGGTTGCATCGAGGGGGGAAGTGGCCATTATCGCTACATCCTGGTTCTTAGCAAATCCCTTATTTCCACTGCCAAACAGTCAAAGCTGTTTTATAACGACGCACAGACCGTCAAACGCCAACAAAGACGGCGTGTGATGTCATGTGCCTTCGCGTTTGGGTCTAAACCGCAAGTGGAAATATCACGCGTCTGCCTGTTGTCTTGAGCCTCAAGCAATTTTGACTTGCCATTTTCCCAACATCATCATCATCATGGCGGAGAAAGAGGCCACAGTTTACATTGTAGACATGGGACGGTCTATGGGCGAGCACCACCATGGCCGTCCTGTGACAGATCTCGAATGGGCCATGCAGTATGTCTGGGATAGGATCACTGCCACAGTATGTGACTTGACTTTGTTCAACGCCAGAGAACTGACAATTCCAGGTGGCTACCGGTCGCAAGACAGCCACGGTTGGTGTGGTTGGTCTCAGGACAGATGGTGAGTGGTGGCCTACCGGTCAGCACCCATTGGGAGCCTTGTCTCACGTTCTGAACAGGCACTATCAACGACTTAGAAGAAGAGAACTTCTCTAATATCTCTGTCTTCTTCGGTCTTGGCCAGTATGTGTGGCTTGATGCACTGACTGTTTCATGTCGAGTCACTTGACTAAATCGTCTTTTAGGGTCCTCATGCCTGATATCCGGAAACTCCGAGAAACGATCAAACCCAGCAAGACCAACAGAGGCGATGGTATGTGACAGTTGAAGTCTTGCCAAGCTTCTCGTTCTGACTTTATACAAGCCATCTCTTCTATCGTCATTGCCATGCAGATGATCATTGAGTACACCAAGAAAAACAAATACAAGCGCAAGATCGTTCTAGTGACCAATGGTACCGGTCCGATGAGCGATGATAATATCGAAGGTATCATCGAAAAGATGAAAGAAGTTAACATTGAGCTCGTGATCATGTATGTTTCTTGCTGTTGTGACTTTACATTCATGCTAATAATATCTAGTGGGGCCGATTTTGACGATGCTGAGTACGGTGTAAAGGAAGAAGACAAAGACAGTCGAAAGGTACTAAGCCGGGTTTAATGTGTTTCAATATTCATGTTAACCAACTTTTCCTCAGGCTGAGAACGAGACTCTTCTCCGAAGCCTGACTGAGGACTGCGACGGTGTTTATGGAACGCTAGAGCAAGCTGTTTCCGAATTAGATATTCCCCGCATCAAAGTGACCAAGAGCATGCCATCTTTCAAGGGAAATCTGATGCTTGGCAATCCTGAGGAATATGACACAGCAATCACTATACCTGTGGAGCGATACTTCCGAACTTATGTCGCCAAGCCGATCTCAGCGAGTTCGTTCGTGCCACGCTCCGGCACCGAAACCGGAAGTCAAGCACCAGTTAAAGGTAATAGTGAAGGTGACGCTCTCGCATCAGTGAGAACATCACGGACATATGAGATCATCGACGAGTCCGCACCAGGTGGTAAGATCGACGTTGAACGCGATGACCTCGCCAAGGGGTACGAGTACGGACGTACAGCAGTTCCTATCGAACAAACCGATGAGAATGTCGCGAATCTACAAACATTTGCCGGTATGGGGCTGATCGGGTTTGTTCAGAAGGATCAAGTGTGTTTCCACGCCAATCCCAAATGTTATAGCAGCTAATTCTGTCACTTAGTATGACCGGTACATGCACATGTCCAACACGAATATCATCATTCCTCAGCGTGCAAATGACAATGCATCTCTTGCGTTGTCTTCTCTCATTCACGCACTCTACGAATTGGAATCCTATGCGGTTGCCCGATTGGTGACCAAAGAATCCAAGCCACCGATGCTCGTTTTACTAGCTCCGTCTGTGGAGGCAGACTATGAGTGCTTGATCGAAGTACAGCTTCCATTTGCAGAAGACGTGCGGTCATATCGGTTCCCACCTCTGGATAAGATCATCACCGTTTCTGGAAAGGTGGTAACTGAACACCGCAACCTCCCAAGCGCCACTTTGAAAAATGCGATGAGTGATTACGTAGACAGCATGGATTTTGTCACCACTAATGATGAAGGGTAAGTAAGGTAGAGCTCACATGTGATCCAGTCAACTAGCTAACCAAAAGAGCCAGTGAACCCACTGACGATCTACCAATTGACGAGTCATTCTCACCATTACTGCACCGCATCGAATCAGCTGTTCGATACCGTGCTGTACACCCTAACGAACCTGTCCTTGATCCCTCAGAGCGGCTCACCGAATTCGCACACCCATCAGAAGAGATGGTCAAGAACTCCAAGTCCCATCTTGAGAAATTGATGTCTACAGCAGATGTCAAGAAAGGTAAACCCGATTCTACAACGACATTCACAAGAAAGCCTACTCACAGACGTATTCCGTTTTATAGTTCCACCAAAGACGAAAGGCCGTAAACGGCAACGCGAAACAGAGAAACCCCTATCAGGTTTGGACGTTGACGCCCTTCTCAGCCTCGAACCCAAGCGAACGAAAATTTCCACCGAGAATGCAATCCCAGAGTTCAAGCAAACACTTTCCCGCGCAGAAAACATCGACACAATCCACGACGCTGTGCAACAAATGGCTAAAATCATTGAGGCCCAGATCACACACAGTCTCGGTCACTCAAATTACGACCGTGTTATTGAGGGTCTCGGTACTATGCGCGAAGAGCTAGTGGATTATGAGGAACCAGTGGTTTATAATGACTTTGTGCGCCAGTTGAAGGGTAAGATGTTGCGGGAGGAGCTGGGTGGGGATCGGAGGGAGCTGTGGTGGTTTGTGAGGAAGGGTAAGCTTGGGCTTATTGGGAAGAGTGAGGTGGATAGCTCGGCTGTCGAGGAAGAAGAGGCTGAAGAGGTGAGGATTGATATCTTGGTGTGGAATGGAACGAGTGCTAACGCTGTATATAGTTTCTGGCTGCCAATTGATAAGTTGAGGGGGGCGAATTACGGCCTCAATCTGGAAACACGATATAGCATATGAGGGATATGGAATATTCATATTTCCCCCTACACTAGGTTTACCCCCATGTAGAGCTTGCTGTATGAGTGATGTTATATGGTGCGCAGTCGAAGCATGGCTGAGAAACGAAGACAAGTATAGCCTACCTCAGATGACTGAGCTCAATAATACTGACTATCTAGACCAAGGAATACGAAAACTTGGGGGGAATTAAAATATAGAGCGAGCTCATGAATAGCATTGTCATATCGACGTAGAATTGACACATACAGGAGCGAATGCCGCAGACAAAACAACATATGGCACGAAGTGAATCGATACCCAATTGCAAGACATCTGACGATTCGCCAATCAACAACAAAACCAAACGCCGTGCGTAACATGCCCAATAACCAGTATTCGCTACAGAAAACAAGAACAGGCCGAGATTTGCAAACTCAAACATTAAAAAGCATCCAGATGCATCACAGAAAAGGGGTATGCAGAAGTATTGTCCCGGTGGGACGAGAAGAATGAAAGAAGAAACTCTCCCAGGAAACATGCAGAGTTCCTAGGGGCGAAAGATAGCAGGAGGTTTAGTGGATGGTCTTAATTGCCCGTGCGGGGCTGATGGTATTGCTACCAATACGTCCACTAGGCTTGCGAACACCACGAGACTCGCTGCGTGTATTTTCCGTTGCCCGGCGAGGGCTGGAGCGAACTTTGCTGACTGAGATAGGGGCAGCGCCGCTCTTGCGGGTCACGGGAGTCTTGGGTGCTGATTGGTCAACCCAGTTCTCCTGATCCTGGTGATTGTCATCTGCGAGAGTGTAGCTAGCTGTGACAGTGGCAGAGTAACTGATAGACCGGGATGTGGGTGAGGCAACAGGAGACCTAGACGGCCGCTGGGCTAATCGGCGAAGCTGGATCTCTTCTTCACTTTCGCTGCTCTCGTTGCTCTTCCTGTGGCTGCGGTGACTGCGCTGCTCGTTTTCAACAGCGAGGGATCCGGAGGCAGTTCGGGAATAAGGATGGTGGCGTGAGTCCTTTCGGTGGGACTTGCGGGGCTGGCCAGGGGTCGGTGCAGGAAGATCCTGGTCTGGGTAGGCTGCAGCTTCGTTGTGATCAATCTCTCCGAGGGCTGCACGTTTGGAGTGGCTATTGTTTGGTGGGGTGGAGACCACCCCGTTGCTGGTGCGCTTCTTGGTCGACACTCGCGGAGTGACGGGTGTGGACTGTGCCAGCTTCTCGCGCATGCTATCCTCAAACCACCATTCACGGAAGGCACCCTGGTTGAGGTGGAGCCAGTGCTGCTGAGGTCCAACGACCATACCGGGTCGCATGAATCTCATGAAGGCAATTACTTCATTGGCGGTGAATCCATACTTGTAAATCAGATAAGCACCAATCAAGCAACCCGTACGGCCCAAGCCTGCCTTGCAATGAACTGCGATACCCTTCTTCTTGATGGTGATCATCTCATGAGCCATTTTGATAAACCGTCTGACAAGCTGGAGGGGAGGGCACGTGCCATCCTCGAATATCATGTCAATATGGGAGATTCCCATTGCGGTGAAGTAAGAGGGACAGTAGAGCTCCGAGTTAAGTCTTACAACAAGACCGACGTTGCGCTGGTGGAAGTGGGCGAGAACATTCTTGAATGGCATTGGAAGCTTCGAGGAAGAGATTTCCGAGATTGTTGCAGGCAGTGCGTTGTACTCAGGGGTGTTTACCGGAATGGGTGCCACGGGCTGCTGCTGGGGAGATGCGAAAGCAAGGAAATCTGGCGTAACCCAGTTGAAGTCACCCATATCGACTCGCTCGAATTTCTCGTACCTATTGAACAGAATCAGCATTCAATCTTCGGCTGTATAAAAAGTAGCTAGCACTTACTCCTCGAGATTGAAGTCGCGAAGTCCGCAAAGAGACTGCTCCTTCGCCTTCCACACTCCATACACAACATCTTGAATGTTCAAAATGAAATCTGCCTGGCTGTATCCAGCATCGCGGAAAGGCATGTAGGGAGGGTCTGCCTGTGCGATTGGTGCCAGAGCCAAATGAGGTGGCCAGGATTGAATCATAACCATATAGCATGCAACAAGGCAGGCCGCATTGGCGCGACTCCGGGCATCTGTCTTGCTATAGAAGACTACCGGGCGGTCGCTGTTGGCTGGATCACCAAGAATTTCATGGAAAAGCACGGCAAACCGGTAGAGGTGACCAATGTGGAGTGGGCCGAAATCAGCGTGAAATGCATTGTAAAGAAGAGTGTCATCAATGGTGAAGTACACGGGAGAGCGGCGCTTGCTTGGAGTGGCGGGCTGGGCACGTGCCCGCTTGCTTGGGGATTTTGGTGCATCCAGATGGAAGGGAAACGGAGTTCTGGAGCTGGGAGCAGAATCATAAGATGCAAGATATAGACGGTCTAAATGGTGGTTTGTCTTAGCTCTCAATTCTGGGTGAAATACCTTCAAATTATCGAAGAACATTGTACCAACCTTGGATGTACTCGATCATCTGCCCGCCGTGATTGAAGTCGGTAGTCATATTGAGGGTTGTCTGTTGACAGCTGGCTAGACCTGGAGTGATTGTGTAACGCTGATAAACAGCGAAGGCAGATCGATATGGTACTGTTGCAGGCCCTGGTATTGATTTCGTGCGACTCGGAGGGTAACAAAGCCAATGGTAAGAAAATAGTCGAGGGTAAAAGTAAAACCTAAACGCTCATGATCAAACTGAGGGAGGGAGATCTATGAGTATAGAATGTTAAGGATAATGAGAAAATGAAAGCCTGGATGTGAAAAGCCTGTACAGGTGAGGGGATTAGAGAAGAAGGAAATCAACACGCAGTCCGAGTTCATGATGTTTGGGGCAGCTGCCATGCCACTGTTATGTTGTGCCTTACCTGTTTAGGACTAGTGGCGGCCGTTGACGTGACAACGTTTTTACAGCCTCAGGCATCAACCGGTCTGCCTTCCACATTCCAAAACATCACCACCATAACAAACAAACAATACAAACTACAAAAATAATACAAAAATAATACAAACAACATCAACATCAGCAGGATCTACAGCTCTCCACTCCGAATTCCCCCCCCCCCCAAAGTCTTACCTTTGAATCCTGTCTCCCGATTGCATATTCCAATGACACATTACTCTGTACATCCCCAGAGTAGCGCATGTCGTTGGCAAATTATTGGTTGTAGGATTGCCTTCATGTTTCCAGTTCATGCCATAGTTAAGCTTCCAATCTATATCGGTACACGAGTTCAAGAGTAAGGCACTCCTGCGCCCCATGCTTGTTTTCATACACCCAGGGCCTGTATGTCACTTTTGGATCACGCTGGTCACTATATTATCTACCTACCTATTCGTACCATTGAGGTGGGAGGTGACGTTTAACCCGCTGTGCTCTAACACTGCCTGATATTAGGTGACCCGTCTTGTATGGGATACACAATTGGCACCTCTGAGCTGCATTTTCTGACTAGAAACCGGCTCGACTTAACGGCTTTTTTTCCTTGCTCCACGTTGGCTTTCCTTAATTGTGTGTATCATGTTCAATGGCTTTCTGGCGATTCAACGCTCGACTGGTCGTTCCAAGTGATCCCCAGGTCACAGTTTGCCCTAATGGTGCCCCCTAATGATGCGCTGCAGCGGTCTGGTTCTCTCACTGAATACAATTTACGGAACCAAAAAATATAACATATAGACGGTCGTCGGTTCCACTTCCAAACGGGGTGCCTCCACATGCCAGTAAACACTAAGGGGAGAGTGGCTGGCGCAATCTCGGTAGGGGCTGGATTGTATGGAGAGGCATCGCAAAAACGGCTCACGGCGAACTATTTTGTTTTCGAGTCCGAATGTTCCACTTAGTCAAACTCACGTTCAGGCCCCTGGGAAAGATTGAGGTCCCGCATATAACGGCCCTCGCCTGAGCCTACGGTCAATGCACTGATATACATCCCTGTCTTTTTTGAGATAGCTTCGGAGTGTTGTCGAGTGTTATTCTTCTTGTGAATGAGAAGTATTTGTATTGGTTACACACGTCTAGATAGACTATGCAAAATCCCTCACGCTGCAATCTTCTCTATATAAGACTACGTGAGATAACCCCAAATGTCCCGCAAAGCAGAACAAGTTTCTACAATTCACTAGCCTGTCTTCTCTGGTCCAGCCTTACTGTAGAGCGGCTCCAACTACACCGCTTGAAACGTGTCACTCACCTTAACTCGAGACCATGTGGGCTCATACATCCCTTCTTTCGCGCAATCTCCGCTGAGATGAAACTATCTGCGCATCTTGACGGATTGGAGCCCGTAGCACTGATCGTGCCAATTTAGCACCGCTGCTGCACCTTGATGGACAATAACAACCATGGTCAAAACATCACCCTGATGATCTCCAATGCGAGGGACCTGTCGATGACCGTGCCGGGAACTGCCAAAATAAACCAAGAGAATTGTATATAATCCGGCCTTTAGATCGAGCAACTTTGTGTTCTTTTCTATACACAAGCCACTCATTCACTTCCAGTCACTCTTTTCTACCGGTCCGTCCTTTTTTTTTTCCTTCGCCAAGTCACTCTTTTTAACTCTTTGAGACTTTACCACCATCGCAACAATGAAGTTCACTGGATTGGCTGTTTCACTCGCCCCTTGAGCTACTCTGCTGCTCTCCCTGTCCTCGGCAATGCCGAGGGTACTGTTTCTGGCATTAAGGGTGCCGTTGGTGATGTCACAGGTTCCGCTGCCAACGTTGCCGCGCCTATCACCTCTCCCGCTGGCGGCCTGACTGGCGCCATCAAGCGTGACGATACTACTGTCCTTGGTGAGACCATCGAATCTATTCCAAGCCTTGCCAACAGCACTGTTACAATTGCTGGTAGTGCTGTTGGTACCGGCGAAAACCTTGTCTCTGGTGCCGCTGGTACTGCTGAGGGGGCAGTTTCCGGCTCGGCCACGAAGCGTCAGCTCAACAACGACCTCATTGGTAGCACTCTTGGAAGCGCCGTTCCAGCCATTATCCAGGAAGCCAAGGCTGGCGGTTTGGCTGGTGCCATCAAGCGCGATGAAACTGCCACACTTGGTGAGACCGTCGAAACTATTCCAACCCTTGCCAAAAGCGCTGTTCCAATTGCTGGTAGGGCTATTAGTACCGCAGAGAACGCTCCTGGCCATCCTTAATCATGCGATATACTTCATGTTTCGTCCTTTCTCGCCATATGTGGGTCATCTTTCGGGGTTTTTTATGAGTCGAACTTTTGTGTACAATATTTCTTGGGAGCCTTTGATTCCTTATGACTTCTAAATAGGTAATGAGGAATAGCCTTTGTACAAATTCATGTTTTATTCTCTACCACATTTGTTCTCCAGTTCTTAAACAAAGGCATTATACCTTGCTTTGGTGAGCTCCAGCCTTATTCCCAACACCCGCCAGTAGCTGTAGGTCAGTAAGACCCTTTTATTGGATAGTTTCCCCTCGAAAACACCATGAAATGATTCTGACGCAGTGACTGATCTCTTTTTGGGTGTGATCTTAATTTTGCTGGGTCTTGAACGTCAAAAACGATGCAACTACACAGACCTTGTCGCAAGAAGCCAAGGTTCACGTATTGAAATTGCTGTGCAGTATTTACTTTGTATAACTCCTGGTATATTCTCCAATACCTTGTTCATATTATGTATTCATTGACATACCTGCCTGACGTGATACCTAACTAACAACCAACCTTGCAAATGGCATGATCTCAGGTGACACATATCATTTCCCATTGGTCGTTTCTATCATTTTTATGTGTTGTGAGATGATTGAATAAAAAAGATATGCCTTCCGCAGGGCTGTCGTGTACTCCTCAATATATATATTTCGAATTCATTTGGTCTACCTGGGTTAACTCAGGCAATTCTATTGCCCCAGCCTTGGTAATCTACGTATATAAACACGCAGGCCATACTAAGCAATATATTGGATTCAATATATATCGCATGTATCGAAATCCATGGCTGCCAGTGGCACTAACCCCAGGTGAAATTTTAAGACAAAACCTGCTCAGTAGGTATAACCTCGGACCTATTAACTAGTTAGTTAGTTAAAAAGCCATTATTAATGGATTCTCCTGAGCCTCAGGACTAGATTGCATCGATTCTGGTCAATGATTTGGAATAATGTTATGCACTGCATTAGGTATGTATAACTAACTACTTATAGTTAGTTACTCCGTGTGATTACTAATTCATGAACCAATCAAGAGATAACCAAACCAAAGCCAATCGACCGGCTCGGACGATTTCCAATTCCGTCGGCCCCTCTGGATACCCCGTGGCCAGCCCTTGGCTAATTGGTAAGAAAATGAATCAGCCGAGGTCGATTTAGATATTCAGAAAGAATACAAGAGCAGAGTCATGTTCTTCTCTTCGCAAATTTTCCTTCTATCACATTCTGCCAAGTCTCTCCGACCAACGACGTCATATCTATCCCCGCGAACATTTCAAAAACAGTTTCCTATTTTCGCATATCCACGTCAAATAACAACCATGTCGTCTGCTACATCTTTCTTCGACTTTGAGCCTGTTGATAGTACGTATCATCTGCGTGGTTATCTGCCTATCTTTCTCCCCCTCATCACATCTAAAATTAAGCTCTGAAGAACCTAATCGCTAACCAAACCCCGCATCCGAACAGAAAAGGGCGCACCCTTCCCCCTCTCCTCGTTGAACGGCAAGGTCGTTCTAGTCGTAAACACAGCCTCGAAATGTGGCTTTACACCCCAGTTTGAGGGTCTCGAGAAGCTCTACCAGAACCTGAAGACCCAGTATCCCGAAGACTTCACCGTCATCGGATTCCCGTGCAACCAGTTCGGCAACCAGGACCCTGGCTCGGACGATGATATCCAGTCTTTCTGTCAGCTTAACTACGGTGTCACCTTCCCCGTTCTTGGAAAACTGGATGTGAACGGCGCAAACGCTGCACCTGTGTGGACTTTCCTGAAGGAGCAGCAGCCTGGGCTCCTGGGCCTGAAGCGCGTCAAGTGGAACTTTGAGAAGTTCCTTGTCTCCGCCGATGGAAAGGTTGTTAACCGCTGGGCTTCCATTACCAAACCTGAGGGACTCCAGGATACCATTGTGAACGAGATCGAGAAGGCGAAGAAGGAGGGAACTCTTGCTTCGCTCAAGAAGAGTGAGGCTGGTGCTGAGCAGGCTAAGCTGTCGTAAGGCCATGCTTAGGGTATTCTTTTCTGAATGATGTGTGGTGGTACCTTAATTTGTTTCTTGTATCTATATCCCGGTTCTTCTGCTTGTGTACGACTCCTTTTCAGTTTACGATTCCGTTCTACCATGGGAATTATACCAAGCGGTAATAGTAATTCATATCCCAGTTTCAAAACTCATTTATATCAAGTTTGTAAAAGTTGCAAGATCGTTTCGTTGGATCTGCATCCATTTCCCCCTAACATGAGGCCCGGATGCCACAACTCAAGCAGAGGAACCAGCCTTGGGAACCAGATTCCGTAGCGACAGGTCGTAGACCACATCCTCGACCTTCTTGACCTGTAGTGCCATCAAATTAGAAATTTAAAACTGCGAAATAGACATTGCAATGATCACAACGTACGCTGTACTTGATGCCGTCGCTGCGCTTGCGCAGGATATCGTTCTTCAAGTTCAAGAGCTGGAACCCAGCGAACACTTCCTTGACGAAGTTGCCAATCTGCATGGGACGGGTGTAGTCACCCAGGGTGACTGAGTTGACAGCCAAGCGAGCCTGGGAACAAATTAGCTGCGGCCAGACATAAAAAGCCCTGAGACCTCGGGAAACGAACCAGTTCCTCAACCATTGCAATCACTGCCAATAGGTACTCCTCAATCGTCAGGTGGAAGGCGTCCTGCTCCTTTAGGTTGACAGGAACTAATGAAAGAATTGCTAGTTAGTATTGTGCATCAATGTACGCATACAGCACCCGTGGAGCTCATTATAGATAGCGATCAGCAAAACGTACTATCCAGGAACTTGCCCACATCCTCGATAGTCATGAACGATGTTGAGCTGGGTCCCTTGTGCTCTTGCAGTCCTCCCAGCCATGCGCAAAGCTCAATAGAGGCGACCTAGTAGCTTGGATTAGCAGAAGTCTTCGGGCATTGCATTCCAGAAAACAAACCAGGTTTTGCAGCTCACGGGTCCATAGCCCATTATACTTGTAGAAGGGATGTTGGTCTGCTACAGCCTTCAGGCGAGCAACCTCTTCCTTCTGGGCAAGGATTTCTTTGGTGACATCGTCAAGCACGGGCTTCACTGTTGTAGAAGTCAGCAAGATAGTCCATGAAGAATAGATGAATGGTGTGAAATGTTGGCTGGGGGACAAGTGTCGGGATTTAAACGTTATATGACGAAGAAAAAAGAGGGAAAAGCGGAGTGATCAAGAAGTGAGCCCAAAGTCGAATGGGATTATACCCCAATCCTCTCATCGGAGCACTCGAGATAGATAATAGATACTTACACTGATCAGCGGGCGTGGAATGAGCCCGCGACAGGATAGCCTGTGTGGAACGTCCTGTATCATTCAACATCAGTTTTCATGTTCGACCTGCGACTTCAACCTAGGTGTGCCGTCCCGGGCAGGGCAGACACCTCGGAAATCTTGGTTGAAGTCGTGAATTGCGGAATATACCTCTTCGGGCGAGTGCGTGGACAATTTCATGTAGCTCCTATCCAAAATAGTTAGCTATCTGGCGGTGTTCCTGGCTCAAGGGTCTTGATCCCGGTGTAGGCTTGGCGCGCGAAGAATTCACCAAGCTCTGGACGCGTTGGTATGACTTACATCCCGGACGGTGCTCTCCTCATCGATCTTCATCTGGAGATTCTCAAAAATGCGTTGGTCAATCATTTTGTTGCTTGGTTGTGGTTGTAGATAGGTATTCGAGAGAATTGAAGGCAAATCTGCGAGGTGTGGTGTTGGAAGTGCGTTACGTCAAAATTCATGTTAAAAAAGAGGATAGCTTGCACAAAGCGCCACAATTCTTTGTTTCAACTGAAAGTTGTATGATGAGTTTTGATATCGCTTGCTGGAATATATTTTACTTTCTGAAAGTGAGATTTCCTTCAGATGAAGGTCATAAGAGGCACCCTACATATGTTTACGATGGCCTACAGCTACTATTCACAGGACGATTGATAAAGCTTTTAACGATTTTCAGCTGCCTATCAAGAAATTTAGACCTCAAAAACTGAGGCCTGTATGTATGTGAATTGTGTTCACCCAATCAAAACGATTGTAAAAGCGACTCCTTCGCGGAAACAAAAAAAAAACGCCAGAACCATGACCATATTTGCAGGTTTTATTGTTGCCAGATCAAGTCTAGTGATCGTCGTAAATGTCGTAAGGAAGCGATACACACCCTGGTCGGTGCCAGGGTGATCACGCGGCGAGGGAGGCAATGTTTAGTATCGGTATCGGGTCGAGTAATCTGCAAAAGCTGGCTGTTAGCGAATAGTATTTCTATTGAAAAACATAGATCGGATGTACCTTTGGGGCTGACCACCAGACCACGGCCCTTCTTGGCGCCCTTGTATATCGTCTCGATGATGTCGATCAACTCCTGCTTGTCCTCCAGCACCCAGTTCAGCTTGTTGTTGTTTCCCGTACCGAAATCGCACATCATATGCTTGTTGCGATAGAAGAACATGATCGTCATCCGGTCGTACAGCTCGTACATCTGGTTGAAGTCTGGGACCTGGTCAAGGTCGCATAGATAGATGACGGCGAAGTCTGGGGGTACGCCTGTCAGCTGCTGTTCGGTTTGCTTTGGGTATATTGATCACTCACTCTTTACCCGCTCGGCGATCTTGTAGAGGAGCTCATCTTGGCGGATACCTGGGAGAATGGGTTAGTCTGAGAGCTGGCAATGGCTGGGAGGGGCACTCACAGTCAGGATCGTGGTCTCGCCCGAATCGGATCACCACCAGGCGTTCCTCTTCAGAGAGGATGGCCTGGTCCACATGCCAGGCTGTTTGCAAGTGAGGGAGGACGATCGAACCCATTATGACGGTTGGTTTTCTGTCGACAGATTGGTGTATGCGGAGTGGGAAAAAAAAAGGCAGGCTTATCGATTGGGCCCCCGCGATCGAAGCTGTTGTGTCATGTGACCACTTTGGCTGTTTTGAACGGCGATGACAATGTTCTATAATTGTTGTACTCCATAGTTAGTGGTATAGTGGAGAGTGTTATCTGTACTGCTTGGACTATTTCTCAGTGTATCATGTTAAAAATATCACGGTGTCATTTCCAAGTCAAATTGTGAATAACCTCATTCATCCAAGCACCTCCCGAGGTCATCTTGGTACCAAGAAGCATATCGTAGGGCGCAATCTATGATTTACGGCATACATGACAGCTAGGAGATCCGTAGTGATAATGTTTTTTTTCTAGACTGCTTGGTCTATTTTCCAGTCTGTCATGTTGGACACGTTGATATAGTTGTGAATGTCTCCCATCTAAGTGTCTCATCTCGGTATCCGACCAAGAAGAACTGTAGGATGCGATCTACGATATGATATGTAGGACAGTTACTTGTGTTCAGCTACATGGATCAACAATGTGGACACTTCAGTGTCACCACCTACGAAGGCATAATGATACAACGCGTCTTTAAGATACTGTAAAATTAATCTTACTCAAGAGAATACTACGAACAGACATCTTCTCCAAGAGCCCGGACAAGCCGAACAGTTGATGAAAAAAGGAGTTCGCGTCGATCGGGGGTAGTGTAAGCCCAATGACACTGTGCAACGAGGCATGCGCAAGCACAGGGGCCAAGTTGCGGGTCATAAAAATTGGAATAATCAAAGTGTTTCCTGGACGGAAACTTTCAGAGATTAAACTGAAAAGAACAGATACTACACTTGATCTAAGCCAATAGGCAAAGAGAGCTGAAGAAGAAAGAAAAGAAGAGGAAGCTCGGGGGCAGAGGCTCCTATTTATACCCGGACTCTGGGTGGGTCCACCATCACCGGGGGTAATTAAGCGAGCCAATCGGAGATAAGGTACACTCCCGGAGTTTGCTTCTTTCGGGTCGGAGTTATCTATCTTGGCAAATTTACCGAGGTACCTAGATAGCGGGCTAAGCGACCTGCTGACTCACTGTGCAACTGACTCATCAAACTTTGCCCTACCCTATATCCTAATTGAGCCTAGCGCGACACACCTCTGGTCCGTGAATTTTTGATAACCAAATCGGCTCCACCGTGAAATTTAGGAAGTTGTCTTGACCACTCTCTCGCCGGCGCAGGATATTCACCTCTTTGCGACCTTTCCCAATTCTCCAAAATCCATCTCCCCCCAATCCATTAACAATGGCTCCCGCTGCTGTACGTTGAAGTCCAAATCGCTTTGCTGTTCCCCCCATCGGTGTCTCTGCAGGTTCGTCTTCGACATGACTGTGAAACTCGGTATTGAAAAATCTATCGAGTCTCCCATGTCGTCGAAGATGAATCTGCGAGACTACCACCGGGGCTCGACATTATGGAGCAGTAGGCTAATTCGATTCCATGTGGTATAGGCTCGTGGTCGCAAGGCCCAGAAGGTTACCCAGAAGTTCGTTATCAACGCTTCGCAGCCCGCTAGCGACAAGATCTTCGATGTCTCCGCCTTCGAGAAGTTCCTCCACGACCGCATCAAGGTTGAGGGCCGTGTCGGTAACCTCGGTGAAAACGTTGTCATCTCCCAGTCCGGCGATGGCAAGATCGAGGTTGTTGCCCACATCCCCTTCTCCGGCCGCTACCTGAAGTACCTGTGAGTTTTTATCTATTTCCCGGGTTGATCTCCCGATATGGTTGGAGTGCGGCTTTGCTGACCGTTGTGCTTTTTTCAACTCAGCACCAAGAAGTACCTCAAGAAGCAGCAGCTCCGTGACTGGCTCCGCGTCGTCTCCACCTCCAAGGGTGTCTACGAGCTCCGCTTCTACAACGTCGTCAACGACGAGGCTGAGGAGGATGAGGAATAAGCGTGTCGCTCCTGACATGTCTTGTTTCTTTGCGCTGTTGACCGATCGGTTCTAGTCTGTGTGTCGCGCTTGGGATGTCTGTATGGATTGAGAGCGAGAGCCATGGGGGGATAAGATTGGTCTATGAGGCCACAAATAAAACTAAAAAAGTTTATACCCTCATTTTCTTCCTCGAATGATGCGTAATAATAATAATGTAGATTGTTAAGTGTACA